CATAACCAAAAAAGTATCCAAAACGGTTGGGATCCTCTCCAAGATACGATACTATGTGCCGCAAAATGCCCTTCTCACACTATACCACTCACTTATATATCCATACCTCACCTATGCTATTTGTGCTTGGGGATCAACTGCAGCAACACACCTAAAGCCAATAATAACCCAACAAAAAGCTAGTTAGTTAGTTTAATATGTTTATTATGCACCCCATACCCATCCTGTGGGCGGTAGTCAAAAGATTACAGAGGTACATAATTGGTCCAGGGACTGGACTCCAAAGTTTTGATAGCTGAGCAAGTTACAGAGGTAATGAACTCACAATTTACAAAGGTAATGAACTCACAATTTACAAAGGTAATGAACTCACAATTTACAAAGGTAATGAACTCCAGGTAAGTCTGGTCACAATCATGACAAGTTACAAAGGTATTTACAGATTACAGAGGTACGTAATGGGTCCAGGGACTGGGCCCCAAAGTTTTGATAGCTGAACTAGGTACAAAGGCAATGAGCTCACAAGTTACAAAGGTAATGAATTCTGTAGAATGGTTACTTACGTTTATACTTTGGCTACAATCATGAACAAATTATAGAGTAATGAGCAATTCACACTTCCACACCCGGTCACAACTGTAATGAGTTATTGGTGCAAATATTGATTGTTGAGTCACACACACCACACACACACACACACACACACACACACACACACACACACACACACACACACACACACACACACACACACACACACACACACACACACACACACTTTAGTTTAATATCTTTATGCACCCCATACCCATCCTGTGGGCGGTAGTCAAAAGATTACAAAGGTACATAATGGGTCCAGTGACTGGACCCCAAAGTTATGATAGCTGAACTAGTTACAAAGGTAATGAACTCCAGGTAGATCTGGTCACTAATCATGGCAAGTTACAGAGGTAATGAATCAGCTTCACTCTCAAATCCCATCCCTGGCAACACCCCCCCCCCACTCTTCATAGATCTAAACTTACTCCCTGTTCAGTACATCCACACTTACTACTGTGCAATCTACATCTACAGGACCCTAAACTCCAATATCAACCTTGACCTAAAACGCTTTCTCGATAGTTGTGACAGAACCCACAGGCATAACACCAGACACAAACATCTCTACAACATTCCCCGTGTCCGACTAAACCTTTACAAAAGTTCAATGTATGTCAAAGGCCCTAAAATCTGGAACACCCACCTGAAAACTCTAGAACTGCAGACACATTCATCACCTTCAAAACTACCATTAGAAAACATCTTATCTCCCTGATACACCCCATCAACTAACTACACGAATACCACCTGGTGGTTCACACTTACACTCACTCACCCATTTGACCATAAACAGAAATATTAATCTCAATCTTAAAATAATGAATCCTGTGATACTCCAATACTGAAACTATGTATTGTGGCAAAACAAAAGCATTCACATTGCTAAACCCACAAACTAGTATTTAGTCACTTAGCCATAATACCAACTTACCTCATAATTTGTAATATTTTAAAATTAAGAATTAAACAAAGTCTGCCCGAAATGCCCAGCCATGCTAGGCGTTCTAATGGTACACTCTGTAATCATTATTTTACTACATGTAAGCCACACAATAACCAAATTCTGTAAACTCAGCATTGTAATCCTTATAGAGAATAAACTTTGAATTGAAATGAACTGAATTGATTTAATGTTAAGAATTAATCTAAGTGCTCCAAATGCCCATTCATGCTAGGTGTCCGAGTGGCCCCCTCTGTAATTAGTATTTTATAACACATAAACCACAAAATACCCAAAACCTGTAAACCCCACATTGTAACCATTATAGAGAATAAACTTGAATTGAATTGTATACTATAATGATGATTCAGTAAGGTTCCAGACGACACAGCTCCACTATATAAAAGTTTAAATTTACTTAATATGCAGATAAACTCCAGAGCATCCACATTTACTATTGTTTATGCTTTATATACATGACACTCAATATGAGTTTTAATTCAGTCCTAAAACTCTTCATGGAGAGCTACAACAGAATTAATAAAGAACAGTATAAGAAATGAATCCATTGTGTCCATCTTGATTGGAGTTGAAACTCCATGCAGATACATAAAAGCCTAAAAGAATATGATTCTTTTTACCAGAAGAATCTAAAAGTGCCCTGTCTGCCAACTGCTTTAAAAACTTAGTTAAGAAGCATGTGTATTTGATTTAAATTTACATTGATCAAATATGAATGTTAAATATAACGAACAAACCAGTTTTATTTTCAAAATGTTCATAATTGATTTAAGTAGTCTGAAGGTTATTATTATAATAATGGGGAGCGCTAAACCCAGAGGATTATACAGCGCATGTGGGGGGGGGGGCTGTAATGCATTCAGGGAACTGGAGCACAGATTCAATTCCCTAGATCAAGAGCTCCTCACCAGCGTCAAGGAACCTCCCTTGAGGGGTAGTCTGAAGGTAAAATTATGAAATATGTTATTTTAAATAACATTCTGTATGTTAAAACAGTCTGGTAGGCAATGCTCTCGCTCCACATGCAGTGTCTGGGTTCGAGTCCAAGCAAGGGTTGAAAGATTGGGCTTGTTTCTTTACACATGTTGTCCCTGTTCACCTAGCAAACAAGTAGGTACCTGGGTATTAGTAGACTGGTGTGGGTCGCATCCTGGGGTACAAGATTTAAGGACTACAATGAAAATAAGACAGTCCTCGATGACAAACTGCCTTTCTTGAGTTATCCTGGGTAGCTAACCCTCCAGGGTTAAAAATCCTCCTTGAGTCGCCGGCATTCTCCCGGCCTGGGTCGTTTCCAGATGGTGACATGGCCTAACAAAATCTGATCTTAGTAAGTTTATTCAGGTTAACACAAATACAGTTACATAGATTATCATTCATAACAACATATGTGTAAAGAACCTAGGATAACCCAAAAATGTCAGTGACTTATTTCCATTGGGGTCCTTTTCTTATCTCTTATAGTAATACAATAGTGTGTTGAGAATTTGTTTTAATAATTATTAAGGGTAGAAATAAAGTGGTGACAATAAGTGCATTAGTATAAATGCTGACTGAAGCCTAAATAAGTGAATTGCATTAATTAATCAATCAGAATTTATTTCTAAAAGGCATACAGTTATTACACATTCCAGTCAGCATTCATGCTAATGTTCTAATTTCACCCTCAATAATTGTAATTAAAATTGTCATTACACTATGTAAAAACTCAATGCACATAAAAGGCCCAAAAATTTGGAATTCATTACCAGTGAATACCAAAGAAACACTGTATGTCAATTCAAGACTTCTTAAAAACCACTTACTCACCCAAAACTAATTGCACAGTACGTATTTAATTTAACATTACCTACATAGTTAACAAATCACTTTCTACTACCTCAAAATATCATTACTCACTGTGTTACTCCCCTAGCCTTAGGACCCCATAATTAAATGCTCACAGATCAAGAAATTCTCATATCTAACCTAATGCAAATATACGTAAAATAACTTTTATCTCATAAATGTATAACCCAGTTGTATAATTAGAGAAACCTTATCAAATTGTTTTTATAGCATTACCTAATAGAATAATCCATTCTCTTGAATGCACTGTAACCCATCTAATGACCATATGAACTGTTACTGCACTACAAATCGTTGATTTGATTTGATTAGATCTGATTATTAAATTATACAACTACTTATAGTAAATTGATCATTTTGTTATATTACTAACTGTGATGTTACAAAATTATAAAACTATAATGCTTCAAAATTGAAATGTTCAAAATCATTGTTTAAAATAACTCAGTTGTACTTGATATTGTAAATTGTCTACAGTAACTGTTGCCATTAAATCTATTATAGCTTAGATAGTCTTAAGTTAACTTTAAGGCTGCTCGTAATGCTCTGCATACAAGGGGCTTTCAACATGTACAACCAACTACTATAATACCTTGTACAACTATGTATCATGTCCTAATAAAATATTATTATTATTAAAAGTTCTTCATATTAACAACATTATAGCACATTGTCTTGTGCTAAAACTTCCTATAAATTGTACATAAATATTATACAATACCTATAAATTGCTTACCAAAAATTCCATTAGTAGTTATTCATTGTAAGTGCTATAGTTATAAGTTTATTTAAAGGCTGCCCAAAATGCTCTGCATAACTAGGGGCTTTCTATAAAGTATATCAATAATGCCATTTTTTTTTCTGAATCAGTTGCAAACCATACTTCATAGAAATAGTTTATCATTTATCATTATTTTCTTACTTAAAATAATAATTACATTTAATAATCTTAGTTTCAGACAACTCTAGATTGTCAAGTTACTTTAAGTTAAAGTTTTAGTCTGCCCAGAATGCTCTCTAGCTACAGGCTTTTTAAAATGTATGAGTTCAATGTCACACCAGTAATTTTGTAAAAATTATTGTACATTTTGAAAATAAAAATTTTTGAAATGTTTATTTTCTTTGCAGTCATTTTTTACTTTCTTTCAAAGGATTCAACCCACAACATTCTGCTACTATGTACTGTAATGTAATGGGTAATGTAATGGGCAATATAATGGGCAATATAATGGGCAATATAATGGTCAATATAATGGGCAGTGTATTGGGCAGCAGGTGCTAAAGATTTGTTCATGCATGCATGCCTCCTTACACTTATTTATCCTTTTCAAATACAATAATCCGTGCCTGGAACATAGTCAGGTGCTTAGCTAGGGGTACCTCAAAACACATGGTTTTCTATCATTAACACAACTAAATGATATTAGTGGATATTTAAATACAGTATATACTTGCTGATATTTTCTTAGATGTGCATCATTGGTGATGGTTTACAAAGAAAACACTGCACAATGCTATGAAGGCTTTTTGTGAATATTTGGATAATAATAATACCCAGTTATTAATTTCTTACACTTTGTTTTTACTTAAGGGGATGGAGGCTTCTGATGAAGATTTCCAGTTATTTGAAATGGTGGAGTTAACTGGGGAACGTCACTCCTTATTGCTAGCACCTCGGTCGCTACCGTCACATCTACAACCATCTGACGCTTCTCCTACCACAGATGTCTTCAACATTCTTATGGCAGACATCTCTGGTTCTATGCATATGTATTGGCCACATGTTGTTTCTGGATGGCAGAAATACATTAAAGACAAGCTCTTAGGTACAGTATTTATATTTTACAAATTTTGCAGGCTTAAGTTTTTTACATATGCAATTAAAAAAAAAGGTATATTTTGTTTTGGTTCTCATCATCTATAAAACTCCAGTTTGAACTCTATTCTCTATTCTTTTATTCCATTATTTTTTTTTTCTTTTTTTCTCTCTTCTTGGTTCAGTAATGTCCTATTTTATTCCAATAGGCTAGGTTTATACATTGCACATTTTCATGATCAGTAAATGGTAACAGGCTGAGCTATATTTTACCTGGATATTGACACCCCTCAACTCGTAAGCAGGCTGTTCACTTAGCTAGACACATCATTTCCTCCAGGAATTAAGGATTATACTACTGGATGCAACCCTTCAAGGAAGTAGGCTTTGTAACAGTTTGGCAATACTCATTTTGGACTCATTGTCCTGTATCTTTGAGTTTTCAATAGCACTCTTGGGCAGTTGGGTTTAGTTGGAATTTTAACGAGAAGAATAAGCACTGTATACTTCCCACCTCCAGGACTCAAGTCTAGCTAACTGGTTTTCCTGAATCCTTTCGTAAATGTTACCTTGCTCACACTAACAGGTCACAAAAACCACTTTCTTCTTGAATTGATATAACGTGCTCACACAATCCTGTTGTATGTATAAGCCCGTAGTACTCTGTCTCCTTTATCCCCTTGCTTCAGTCATTCTGAAGATCAATGGTATTTTCATTGTGAATTTATTTTTAGTCCTGTTTTTGTATCATCTGTGAATGTGCTTATGTCACTTTTATTCCCTCACCAAGGTCATTAATGTAGATTATGAACAACAAAGTGCCCAAAACTTATCTTTGTGGAATGTATGACTGGTCCCTGATTCTGATTTCATCCCATTTACATACAAATTCTCTGCTGCCTCTTTGTTAGCCATGACTCAGTCCATGAGAGAATTATTCCTCCTGCATTGTGTGTTGCTGTGTTCTTTAACAGTCTTCTTTGTGTCACTTGCTCGAAAGCCTTACTAAAATCCAAGGAGAGAATAATATATTCTTAATCATTGTCCACTACTTCAAATACCTTATTAAAGTCATTAAATATGTTAAACATGAATGGCCCATTGTGAATGTTTTGAGATTAATCAAATTATGCTTATCAAGAAGATTTCTAATGATATCTGCTATTATGAATTCTAATAATTTTCTCACTGTTGATGTCAGGCTAATTGAGTGATAATTTGATGGTAGGGAATTTTCTCCCATTTTAGAGATAGGAATCAGTTAGCCATCTCCCACATATTAGATGCAGTATAATATCTGTTTGTAGTGATATATTGAAAAGACAGTTTCCATTTTGTATTCTTTAACCCTTTGACTGTTTTGGTCGTATATATACATCTTACGAGCCAGTGTATCGGACGTGTTAATACGCATAAATTCTAGGGGCTTCAAATCAAGCAGGAGAAAGCTGGTAGGCCCACATGTGAGAGAATGGGTCTGTGTGGTCAGTATGCACAACATTAAAAAAATCCTGCATCACACAGTGCATAATGAGAAAAAAAAAACTGACCATTTTTTTGGATTAAAACGCCGACTTTGAGGTGTATTTTTGTATAGTATTTATCGTTGTATTCTCGTTTCCATGGTCTCACGTGATAAAATGGAAAACATATTACAGAAATAGAGATGATTTTGATTAGTTTCACGATGAAAACGCCCTAGAAATTGAGCTCATAGTAGCGGAAATGTTCGATTTTTACCAATGTTCAGGAGTAAGCAAATCACACCACATGTCCAATATACGTCAACTGGGGAGTCTAATATTCTTTCACTAGTGCACTGATATTATTTATACCATTTTTACAATAATGCAGTAGTCTGCATAACACTAAATTTTGTATTTTTTGTATAAAAAAATCAAAATAGAAAGCAATAGTAATATAAGAGGGGCCTAGAGACATGACTAATGAACAGAGGATATGTTATTTTAGTGCCAAGAATGTCTACATTGTTTATTCTGGACCCTATTTTGAAATTGGCATCTTTTTTAATTTGCATGAAATTGGCCAAATTGCCAATTTCTGACCACTTTATTGGATAGTTCCAATCAGTAAATGGGCGGTTTCTTGTACTCAGCTGATAGAAAAAATGGAGTTCTAAAGATATAGCTATGAGTTTGGTCAACTGGAACAACGGAATTGGCCAAAAACAGGGCTCAAAGTCGGCGAAATCACCAATGCGTATATGTCGCCAAGACCTCTAAATTCGCGGGAGCGTAATTCCGTGAGTTTTTGACCAAATTTCGTACTTTTGGTGTCATTACCATCAGGAAAAGATTATCATTTTGTAAGAATTTTTTTTTTTTTTTTTTTTTCTTCCAAAAAATTTTGCAACATAGAATGACAGTTTCAGAAAGTGGCTTGTGACAGTCAAAGGGTTAAGAACCCTTGAAGCAGTCCATCAGGACTTATTTTGCTTTAATCACTCAATGTCTCTTGTGACTGATATTACATAATTATTTTCCTCAGGTTCACTATAATGATTAATTCTTTTGTAAATATTAATGAAAACTGCACTAATACAGCTCACTTTTCTTGAATCTTTCTTCTATATGCACTTGGAAGAAATTTTTTAGTTTGACTTTGCATCTTTTTCATAATCTTGTTGAACTTTTCTTATCCATTTCTTTTTTTACATCTCTTTTAATATTAATATATTGGTTCATAAGACAATCATCCTCTCTTGATATGTTAAAAAATTCTTGTCGTGTCCCACAAAAAAAGTTTGTCTCCTATTCATTCATAGAATTTTTATTTGATCTTATTTCTCTGTAGGGAATAAATGTTCATTATGCAGGTTGTATAGTTCAGTATTTACTATTACCTCAATCAGCACTAGACAGGCAGTCTCCTAAGTCTTAATCAGCAGAGTGAAAATCTGGGAACTTAACTGCATTATTCTCGTTACAGCCTCTCCTCACTTAAGAACAGAGTTCCGCTCCTAAGACCACGTCGATAAACAAATTCGTCGCTAAGTGAAGAGCATGCTATAATGGTAGTGGGTCTGTGTCAATCATCTTTGATATTGTTTTAATGTAACCTGTGCACCATTTATAACATTTCTGGTTTATTTTTAAATGTTTATACAGTATTGTACTGTATATTGTAATTAACAGAATAGAGGAAATCAGCTCTAATCTACATTATTTAGGTATGCATACTTGTCAGAGAGCCCATTGTAAGTCAGAGTTGTCGGTAAACGAGTACGTCGCAAAGTTAGGAGAGGCTGTATTGTACATCCAGTCAATGTTAAGTGTAATAGATTTGTGATTGTTTGTGCCTAGCTCCTCTTTGAACTCCAGGTTGTTTACTAGGGTCTTCTGATTTGCCAAACCAATCAAGTAGGTTATTCCCTTTCATTGATTCTCTCTTCAGCTGCTTTAAAAAACCAATCCCTGACTGCTTCAGGAAGTTGTTTTACTCTTAATTTTCAGTAGGGGAATTTCAGTCAATTTTGTTAAAATTGAAATTCCCTAGTATTACATTTTCATGTCTTGAAGCCTTAACAGTTTCATCCCAAAGAATACTTCTTGGATGTTTAATAAGTTGGAGGAGTTGATATTGTATGCTTATGATCAGATTTTCATTTCTTTAAAAAAATTACAACCATACACCTCAAGTGTTAGTTCCTCCAGAGTTTGAATTTTTTTTTTTTTTTTTTTTTAGAAACTGTTCAGGTTGACTCTGACATGGCCTCACTCCACTCCCTTTTTTGTTTCTATCAGTTTGAGCAATTGCTGCAGGCAATTCTTGACTTCAAATTAAATCATGCATCTGTAATTGCTGTAATACTGTATTTTTCTTGTATATGAGAGTAGTCCTGGCTCATTTATCTTATTTCTAGCACTACAGTAATTTGTATAATTAATGCCTTCCCTCTGTTCATCTTTGTTTTTCTATTATTTTGATGTTTCCATCATTACCCAACACAATTTTCTTTATTATATTCAGAATGCATGTCACTTTTATCATTTACAGGTGCACAACAGTTCCCCTTCCCAAAAAGACTCGCATTATCAACCTCCATAAGGCCCAGCCTTTTGTTCAAGGCAGTGGAGATGTCCTGTCTAAGGGCAATGTGTGGTGTAAATATTATGCAGAAAATTCGGAGTGTGGAAATTAGGAGAAGGTGTGGAGTTAATAAAAGCATTAGTCAGAGGGCAGAAGAGGGGTTGTTGAGGTGGTTTGGTCATTTAGAGAGAATGGATCAAAGTAGAATGACATGGAAAGCATATAAATCTATAGGGGAAGGAAAGAGGGGTAGGGGTCGTCCTCGAAAGGGTTGGAAAGAGGGGGTAAAGGAGGTTTTGTGGGTGAGGGGCTTGGACTTCCAGCAAGCGTGCATGAGCGTGTTAGATAGGAGTGAATGGAGACGAATGATACTTGGGACCTGACGATCTGTTGGAGTGTGAGCAGGGTAATATTTAGTGAAGGGATTCAGGGAAACCGGTTATTTTCATATAGTCGGACTTGAGTCCTGGAAATGGGAAGTACAATGCCTGCACTTTAAAGGAGGGGTTTGGGATATTGGCAGTTTGGAGGGATATGTTGTGTATCTCTATACGTATATGCTTCTGAACTGTTGTATTCTGAGCACCTCTGCAAAAGCAGTGATAATGTGTGAGTGTGGTGAAAGTGTTGAATGATGATGAAAGTATTTTCTTTTTGGGGATTTTCTTTCTTTTTTTTTTGGGTCACCCTGCCTCGGTGGGAGACGGCCGACTTGTTGGAAAAAAAAAAAAAAAAAAAAATTCCACTAAGTTTTTGGGTGTGTTCTGAATTCTTTTTCTAAATAATTACTGTAGACTAATTTAAATCCACTGAACCAGCCATACCTTCGACTTTCAATCATGAAAGGTGTCCATATGTGAGATGCATATGTGACACTTTTATTCTAATAGGTATCTGAGTTGTCAGTAAACTCCACTTAGTAATTACAGTTGCTCTGGATAATGATTTATTTTCAACTCTCATACTAGGCAGAATACCACATTTCATACCATAGATACACCACTCTTTTAATAATGTCATGGCCTTCCTATATTTTTTTTTTTTAGCCACTCCTTGCATAAATTTTTCCTGACAGTGTTATCTCATATATATATTTTATATGCTGCATGTACAGTGGAACCTCAATACATGAACTTAATTCATTCCAGAAGGCTGTTCGAGTACCGAACAAATTTTTTCCATAAGGAATAACGTAGATTAGATTAATCCATTTCAGACCCTTAAAAATACACTTACGGCGACTTTGCGGTCTCGTTTGATAGAATGAAAGCTATGTTACAGAAATAGAGATGATGATTTTGAATGGTTTACAGACTAAAAGTACCTTGAAATTGAGCTCAAAGTAGCAGAAATGTTTGATTTTTGCTGATGTTCAAGAGTAAACAAATCACATCACGTGTCCAGTACACATCAACTGGTCGGACTAATATGCTTTCACAAATGTGCTGATATTATTTGCACCATTTATACAGTGATGCAGTAGTCTGCATAACAGTAAATCTTCTATTTTTTTTGTGTGTGAATAAAAGTTCAAAATGGAAAGCAAGCATAATATAAGAGGGGTCTGGAGTGGGAGGAGCTATAGGAGAGAGAGGGAGGGAGGGAGGGGCCAGCAGAAGGAGCATTCAGTATCTGATGAATTGCCTTGATAGCCAGATACTGGCGGTGGCACAAATGGAATGTTATGTAATTACGCTAATATTAGTAATAAAGGTTACCTATCTATCACATTTATGCCAACTTGATATCAGAAATACAATAGATAACCTAGAAGCACAATAAAAACACTGAAATTAATAATAAAAGGCATATTATATGGAGAGGTGGAAGCGGTGTTTGCATCAGGGCAAATATACTTAGATCACGTTTATCTTACCAAAAGGCCCAAAAATAGAGCGATCTTTCCCAAATATCTCCCCCCCCTCCCCCGAGTCCTATGCTACACGTGAGTTTTCCTAGATTATCTCAGAAGGAAGATATTGACCTATTCCTTGACATGGCACCGTTAATAATAAATGGATTGAAATTATTTTCACAGCGAGTATAAAATAATGAATGTTTTACACAGGTAGAAAGATCAGACGCGCTGGCACAGCTTTCATATTTTGCTATGAGTTCTTTTTTTCATCTGTATTGTGACTCTAACCAATTTTCTTTTTGGTTGGCTGTTATCACTAATCTTCTTAGGCCATATGGTGACTTATTTATACAAATAATATAAAAAAAAAATGCTAAGACGCATGAAATAATTTACAATGAAGTTCAGCGGAGTTTTACACTGAGCGACAGCTGCAGGAAGACTGACACACATGTTCTGGCAGGTCTTGTTTGTTTGGTTGAGTGCCGAGCAAACAGTCGACTACCAAGCTTTTTTTTTTTTTTTTACCGAACAAAGCGTTCAAGTACCGAATTGATCGAGTACGGAGCTGTTCGAGTACCAAGGTTCCACTGTATATATATAAATAACATTCTTGCCATTTTTACACTAGGGCAGCATCCCAAAGGAGGAAAGCATATTTCCTATCACTTATTCCCTAACTGTCTTTCCAGAAGTACAGATGACTTAAAATAATTTATTTTTCTTTGCAGGACATACCAAGATTTTTGTGTTTGACTGTTCAGTAACATTTATACGCACTGGTACAACCTTAACTCAAGAGGATTACACCGGAGGTGGGACAAATCTTACTTCAGCCTTAAAAACTGTTCGTGAAGAAGTGGATAACTGTAAAGAAGAATATGTAAGGATTTTCATTGTAACAGATGGTCACCATGGTGAAGGCCCTCCATTACCTGAAACTGAAATTATTCAGATGAGTGCACCACAAGGCAAGACTGTAGATGTTTTCCTTCTTGGTATTGGATTGGGTTTTCCAGTAAATTATAGTATTGATATGCGATCATACATGCACAATGGCAATTCTAATTTGCCATCTTTATTTTGGGCTAAAGAGGATTCAGAAATTGAAGATCAGATGATGTCCATTGGAAATGAGCTCAATTCTGCACTAATAAAGCTTAACCTAAGCCTCCCTGGATATATCCTGCCAGGTTTAGACAGGACTACACTAATTCATTTTGGTGAGTGGAGTTACTTCCCAGAACCACCTGAGGAACTCCATGGGCTAACATTGAAGGTTGATGATGAAGAGCCAAAGATGTTATCATTAGAGATTACAAAAATGCCTGTGAGCCTGTTACTTGATCAAGTGTTTCGTCAGTGGAATTCAGTTTTGATTCAGCAACATCGTAAAAATCTGCATGTCCCAACTGAAACGTTTGATCTTATGGATTCATTATTTAATTATTTAATGAATGAAATTAACTCTGAACTTGGAGATGGAAATAGTGTACAGCTACGTTTGAAAAAGAAGAGAGCAAAGAGCTATGAAGTAGAGTATGCAACACTTCTGAATCATAGCAAGACTATTATTTTAATTGAAGGCAAATATAGCGATGAAATAGAACTCGCTGAAACCATTCTGAAAAGCACTGTCAAAGGTAGAAAATATGGTACAAGAACTTTAAAAATAAAAGGTCATGGACAGGATGACTATGAAACTGACTTGAAGGATTTTGCTCGGATGTATCAAAATTTAAAGCAGAGAATTCTAGAACTGCCACAACCTACACCTGAAGACTGCTGTAGAATCACAATGTCATCTACATTACAAGATATGCAAGATCCTGACTTTGATTTAATGTTCAACGAGAACAAGTTTGATCTTTTAAAGTGTTTTACAATGACAGGGATTCCAGTGTATGCTCCAGTTTCTGATGCCTCCCAGATAAATCCATGGACTTTAGGCATCCAGCATATTCTTGTAACACCCTTTACAATACTCAGCCAGAGAGCTATTGAAGCATATGCTGATAGTGGTGATAGCCTAGGAGAAACAGACAAAGATGTTATACTTCAAAAAGATGATGAAAAAACTCGTTTCAATGCTATAATTCCTATTGTTCCTACTAGTGCAGCAAGTGTCTTGAAGCCACTCATTCGTTCCAACCTGTATGCAATGATGGCTACATTTTGCATCTTGAAAAATCCTCATATTATTGACCATGATGCACACATTGCTTCTCTAGGTTGTGCTTGGGTGAAATCTGTAGTTGAATATCCCCCCAAAGATCGTCCAGAATTTGTCTCTGATAGACTAAAAAATATTATTTCTACAGCTAACTTGTATATGGATCGAGCAAGGATAGTTTGCTATGTGACTGCTCTAATAAATCATCCACAGCAAGCCCTCATGACAGAAAGCACTGATGTTTTTAATGAGAAAACACTGAAGTGTGAGTCACTTGTAAAACCCATGTTCTTCATTCATCTGGAAAAGGACAAATTTACGATGCCTCAAGTTGAGAACCTTCTGAAACTAATGCTAGCAGAGTACATCGGACGTTGTCTTGCTGACTACAGAGTGTATAATGATGCTACCCCTTTTACAGATTTCTTTGTTGAAGAACTCAGTGACAGCGAGAAGAAGAAATTATTGCTTGAAAAGTACTCACAGGTAAAGTATATATGACATGACAGTATCTGTATATTGCTTCTTGTTCTCATCACATTGGTATGTTCATTGATGTTTACATTTAAATTGTTTCACTCCTAAATACCTTTGTACTTTTCAGTGTTGAAAGAAATGCCTAATTATAAAAAAAATATAACCACGTCCACGTGCGAGTTTTTCCAGATACGAGCAGCTGCTCGGTCGATTTTTTGCTTCCAGAAGCGAGCAAAATTTCCAGATGTGAGCAGGCCTCAAGGGAGGTTAATTGACACTGGTGAGGGGGCTCTTGCTCTTGATCTAGGGAATTGCATCTAAGTTGTTTGTTGGACTATCTTATTGAAACTTGGGCAATGTGTGATGAAAAGATGCTTCTTAACGTACACCAAAAATGAAAGAAATCGGACCATAAATAACGGAGTTCCCTTCTCAGCCATTAGCCTCCCCTTAACCATATATTTCTGTATGGTTTTTATGGTTGTATTCTCATTTTATTTGGTCTTGTGTGATAGAATGGAAGATATACCACAAAAATAAATATGATTTTAATTGGTTTCACAATGAAAAGTACCTTGAAATTGAGCTCAAAATAGCAGAAATGTTCGATTCTTTGGTGACATCAGTGGTAGACATCATGAGGTAGCAGTGGCAGACAATATGAAGCAGCAGTGGCAAACAACATGAAGCAACAGTGGCAGACATCATGAGGTAGCAGTGGCAGACATCATGAGGTAGCAGTGGCAGACAACATGAAGCAGCAGTGGCAGACATCATGAGGTAGCAGTGGCAGACAACATGAAGCAGCAGTGGCAGACATCATGAAGCAGCAGTGGCAGACATGAGGTAGCAGTGGCAGACAACATGAAGCAGCAGTGGCAGACAACATGAAGCAGCAGTGGCAGACAACATGAAGCAGCAGTGGCAGACAACATGAAGCAGCAGTGGCAGACAACATGAAGCAGCAGTGGCAGACATCATGAGATAGCAGTGGCAGACAACATGAAGCAGCAGTGGCAGACATCATGAGATAGCAGTGGCAGACATCATGAGGTAGCAGTGGCAGACAACATGAAGCAGCAGTGGTAGACATCATGAGGTAGCAGTGGCAGACAACATGAAGCAGCATTGGCAAAGTGTAGTATTAAGAGCGTAGCAATTAAGTGAAGCATTAAGAGTGTAGCACTTTTTTGGGTTATCCTAGGTTCTCTACACACGTAGTCAGGAGCAGGAATGGCCGCTGTGGTGGCCCTATAACCCTCAACCAGAATGGCTGCTTTCACCAGCACTAGCCACTTACCTAATGACATGTATTTTATTCATTCTAGTGTATATATCATGTTTCTATGTTATTAATATTGTTTATTATGTCATATTACATGAATTGTGATAGATAAATAAGCTGTAAAGTTGATATTAGGGAAATTATTAAAGTATTTTCTCATGCCTGGAATTACACAGGAACGAATTAATTCTATTTCAATTAATTTAAATGAGGAAAATTGACTCTGCAAACGAGCAAATCCAGTTGCAAGCAAGGTCATGGAACGGATTAAACTCGTAAGTAGAGGTTTCACTGTAGTATAATAATAATATAATACGTATAATAAAAATACATATATAATAATAATGTACTATATAATAGTAATTATAATAATAGATGGCTTCAAAGAGGGAGCAGTTGTGACCACCTCCACCTGTTACATAATGACATATTTTATTCATTCTAGAATATATATCAGGTTTCTATGTTGTTTATATTGCTTATTATGTCATATTAGATGAACTGTGATAGATAAATAAGCTGTATAGATAATATTAGCGAAATTATTCAAGAAGTATTTTGTCCGGTCTCCAGACAAACTGTCGTCAACCGCCCACACCACTACATGAATTACATATTTTATTCATTTTAGAGTATATATCAGGTTTCTATGTTATTTATATTGTTTATTATGTCATATTAGATCAAGTGAGATAGATAAATAAGCTGTAAAGTTGATATTAGTGAAATTATTGAACTAAAGAATTCCACTGGAATGGATTAATTGCATTTCAATTTAAATGAGAAAAATTGACTCTGCAAACGAGCAAATCCAGTTGCGAGCAAGGACAGAGGACAATTCGCCACAGGAACTAAGCCACAGATCCCAAGACCTATACAGCACGAGTACTGCTCCAAGCCAGTACTCTACCCAATGTCTCCAACAGTCTCCTCCCGAGACTTTAAGCGGAGCTGCTGCTGTGTGCATAGCTCAGGGGGAGCTGCTGCAGGGCTCGGGAGAAGGCTGCTGAAGTCTCGGGAGGAAACTGTTGGAGACATTGGGCAGAGTACTGGCTTGGAGCATTACTCGTGCTGTATAGGTCTTGGGACCTGTGGCTTAGTTTCTGTGGTGAACTGTCCTCTGAACCACCTCTCATTCAGTGCCCTCAGTCTATCCTCTTAGGATAGATTTCTGATACATGGAATCAGCTTTGTCATCCTACCTTGTATGTTTTCCAGCAGTGCATTTATGTCCACTTTAATACGATGATCAGAACTGTGCAGCATAATCTAAATGAGGTCATACCAATGATACATAAAGTTGAAGTATATACTTCGTGATATGAAGCTTTTTTTTTTTTGTGCGAACACTTACTCACTGCTGTCTTGGCTTTAGATTGCTGTTAATTAGATCTCCTAAATCTTTTTTTGCATTCAAAGTAATTTAAATATACATTATTCAGTTTATAAAGCACCATGGTTATTCTGTTTTCCCAGGATTATTTTTATATAGCCGGACTTGAGTCCTGGAAATGGGGAGTACAATGCCTACACTCTAAAGCAGGGGTTCGGGATATTGGCAGTATGGAGGGATATGTTGTGTATCTTTATACATATATGCTTCTAAACTGTTGTGTTCTGAGCACCTCTGCAAAAACAATGATTATGTGTGAGTGAGGTGAAAGTGTTGAATGATGATGAAAGTATTTTTTGGGGGGGGATTTTCTTTCATTTTGGGTCACCCTGCCTTGGTGGGAGATGGCCGACTTGTTAAAAAAAAGAAAAAAAATTGTCCACATTAAACTGCATCTGCCACTTCTCTGACCACTGCAGCAGTCTATTTAGATCTTCATGTAGTGCTCTAGTGTCCTCGTCAGACTGAATTCGGCAGCCTATTTTAGTGTCATTGGCAGACTTGCCTATGTCGCTATTTATTCCCTCATCTATGTTATTTATGTACATAGATGAGGGAACAAATAGCGATATAGGCAATAGCGACATAGGCCCAATATTGTGAACAATATTGGGCCCAACACTGAGCCCCGTATAACACTGCTTGTAACACATCCCTACTCTGCTTTCTCCCTGTTTGTGCAAAAACTGTTGCCTATCTGTTCACCATGCCTCGATCCAGGAAAAATTTCCCCTCCTGTTCCATGTACCTCTATTTTCTTCAATGGTCTCTAATGTGAAACTATCAAAGGCCTTACTGAAGTACATATGCACTATCATATTCATTATCATGATCCATCACCTCAAATACCTTAGTGAAAAAGTTAGTAAATTTGTAAGGCAGGAATTCCCCTTTGTAAAATAATGATGAGATTCATTGATCAATTTCTGTCTTTCAAGGTGGCTTTGAATTGCCTTGGTATTTATTGATTCTGTCAAATTTCCTGTAATGGAGGTTAGACCAGTTGGTTTATAATTTGAAACTAACAACCAATGTCCTGCATTGTACAGTGGACCCCCAGTGTTCGGCAGTGCAGAACTCGTACAATTCGGATTTCGAGCACTTTTTTCAGCTAAATTTTCCCCCGGGTTTCGTACATCTGCTTGGAAATCGTTGGTATCAGACGCGTCTGCCTGGGCCGCTCATACATTCATGACTCACTCTTGGGCACATTAAATGTCTTATTTTATGTTAATATAGACATTTTCATTAATCCGAGTCTTGACTATCCACATAAAACCTCTTAAGTGCTCTAAGAACCTCCCTGATGGCCAGTTATTTTTGTGTTAAACAGCACCTTAATGCTAATGAGCATTTTAGGAAGACACCACTTTACTACAAAAATGCTTTCATGTCAAATCTAGAAAAATCTACATAACCAGTTGTTGTAGTGTCAGAGTAGAAGAATTATTGCATTGACCTCCTTGTAATCCTTCCACTCATTGGATGCTGAAGCTCCTGATCTTAGTAAGAAGTCTCCAGTTATTTTCTAGTTTTTACAAAAGTGAAATAAAATAATAGCCATTTTATTAGTATTGTTTATTAATGATGATACAGTATTGAAATTTCTTCTGTTATCTATACAGTGTGCAGTACTTATGGTATATCATCTGTTCCTTCCCCTTTGCTTAAACACTTATTTTAATATTCATGGATGGCTTGATAGTTATCATACACCGAAATTATATTAAATAAATGTGTTTTGCTCGTCACTTGTATATGGAATGTTTTTTTTCCTTTCGTAATATTACAGTTAATGATTGCTTTTTCCCTAAATTTACTAAATTGCTGTATATGTATAACATTTCTGTGGCAATAAGTTGTGCTGGTTTTATGTAAAAAATGTTTGCACATTATTGCATAGTTTAATGTAAGGAATGTTGAAGGCTTTATCATCAATGATTTTTCCTTGAAGACCATGTCTACACCTATAGTATTTCTATAATTTAAGGCATGAGCATGAACAGTCTTATTGACTCTTTATTCTAGTAGATACAGGTAACAACAATAAAAATAACACTATTACTATCTGTATTTTGTTTTATTTCATTGCAGAGTGTAATTGATGACTTCCAGTTGATTCATGGTAACCTCACAGAAAATTTTTTCACTCTTGATGACTTGCGATGCATCATCAAGCAGCACGCTATTACCCAGGCTGCTACTTTAGCCGTAAAGTTAATGGAAGACATAACTATACAAGTTAACATGAAAAAGGTGGGAAAGTAAATCTTAATAGCCTTATTGTAAATGAATAGTTTTAAGCATATTTATTATGTTAAATGTGCAGGAGCAAGAACACTTTCACTAACCAGGGTTCACTGTAATTCTGGTATCTTGTATCTTATTTTTCTCAAGATTTGTCAACCCTCCCAGGTAAAGCTCTCCAAAGATCAGGTCTCTGTTCCCTGCTGTTCCTGATATCCCTCAGTGACCTGGCAAGGGCCACTGATTATGAAATTTTCATGGATTTTCTCAAGATTTTTCTTAATGATTATCAGGTAGTTATGTTCCTACAAACTGCTTGTAATAAAAATCAATGGATCATCTGGCACATCTTTTAATCCAGACAAAATTTTGAGTCTGCTTTTTTGCTAAAATAGTTTACCTGGAGGCCACAGATGGGGTTGTATGTAGTGCAAGCTCATTTACAATATTTACACTGTCGTTATTAGTGGTGATCCCTTGAGTTTGTGTGATTCTTAGTATATTTTGCTAACAAATTAACCCTAGCTGTGGTTAGTGATTAGCTCTACAGTTCCAGTAAAATTCTAAAATTTTCAGTTATGCTTATGTTTAATTTAAATTTCTAGAGGCCATGATAAGTAAGAAGCGTATCGTTGAATTATGATTATATAACCTCTGTTGGTCCAGCAAAATTGATATACTGGCAGAGCCTAGAAACCAAGGGTGCCAGAAAGTTGGTGTTGTAACTGTACTTAAGAACTTCAGTGGGTGGTGAATTTGAAGATGTTCATGTGCCCTAGATGATCTTTTTATCATCTTTAGCTGTCAACCAGTGAGTTCTTTTTATTTCAGTTAGTCAGGCTAAGGTTGCTGAGTATTTTTGTATTTATACTACAGATATTTTTCATTAGTTTATTTTGTTTTTCAGGTAAAAAAACTGAAGAATTTAGGGAGCTGTGGTGATATCAGATTTACATCATTCCAGACATGGGCACAAGAAATGGGAATTTCTGATGACGAAATTGAGAGAGCTACTAACCTATCTCAGGTATTAAGTTGTATGTCTTCAATATTTGTTTTATGTGTAATTTGTGATATACAATTATTGTAACCAGTCTGGTCTGCAAAATTAAAAAAATATTTATGTGTCCAATACTTTACGTCTACTGTATCGAAGATTTTCTGGATTATGTTTGGTAGAATTGTGTACATATTCAAATTGAGACTTGTTTCTGCACTTTTATCTGTTACATAGTTTTTAACATGTAACACACAACCATTGTAAACCTACCTCAGAATGTGACCAAATGCGGGTATGATAGTTTTCATTTGATTTATTTTTGAAACGTCTGGTTCAGGTTAACAAGGCAGTTTATTTTAACTGTGGGATCTTCCTCTTTTGAAGGATGGTTACACCAGCTTTGCTAGTTGTGATAAAAGTTTGACGAATACTTGCAGTGTACACTGCTGCTCTGTACAGTTGGATAAGGACATTACCCAAAATAAATATTGTACAGTAGGTCATAATTAGCATTCTCAAACACAGCATTTCCTTTTTACAGTAAGACCCCGCTTTACAGCGTTTCGCCTTACGGTGTTCCACTAATCTAGACCTTGGAAATTATGACCAAAACTCGCTAGATGGCTCCCCCCATCTGACACTAATGTGGTCACTGTGGGCCACCCAGTTTGTTTACATTCTCTGTGAGCTCTGCATCTCTCCATTATGTCTTGAAACTTTCTAAAATTTCAAGTGTCTTAAAGTTATTTCATATTTTATATATCTTTCTTCTTTCAACACACCGGCCGTATCCCACCGAGGCGGGGTGGCCCAAAAGGAAAAACGAAAGTTTCTCATTTTACATTTAGTAATATATACAGGAGAAGGAGTTACTAGCCCCTTGCTCCCGGCATTTTAGTCGCCTCTTACAACACGCATGGCTTACGGAGGAAGAATTCTGTTCCACTTCCCCATGGAGATAAGAGGAAATAAACAAGAACAAGAACTAGAAAGAAAATAGAAGAAAACCCAGAGGGGTGTGTATATATATGCTTGTACATGTATGTGTAGTGTGACCTAAGTGTAAGTAGAAGTAGCAAGATGTACCTGAAATCTTGAATGTTTATGAGACAGAAAAAAGGACACCAGCAATCCTACCATCCTGTAAAACAATTACAGGCTTTCATTTTACACTCACTTGGCAGGACGGTAGTACCTCCCTGGGCGGTTGCTGTCTACCAACCTACTACCTACATTATGTATACTTATATCTAAATAAACTTATACACTGTGTTGACTTGCAGGTACACATTAAAATCACTAAGTGTCATATTAGTCTTGAAGATACCATATTAATAATGACAATAATAATGATGCTGCAGCAAGGCGGCGGCTGGAGGCAGTAGAGATGTCGTGTCTAAGGGCAATGTGTGGTATAAATATGCAGAGAATTCGTAGTGTGGAAATTAGGAGGTGTGGAGTTAATAAAAGTATTAGTCAGAGGGCTGAAGAGGGGTTGTTGAGGTGGTTTGGTCATTTAGAGAGAGTGGATCAAAGTAGAATGACATGGAGAGCGTATAAATCTGTAGGGGAAGGAAGGCAGTGTAGGGGTCGTCCTCGAAAAGGTTGGAGTGAGGGGGTAAAGGAGGGTTTCTGGGCAAGGGGCTTGGACTTCCAGCAAGTGTGCGTGAGCGTGTTAGATAGGAGTAAATGGAGACGAATGGTTTTTGGGACCTGACGAGCTCTTGGAGTGTGAGCAGGGTAATATGTAGTGAAGGGATTCAGGGAAACCGGTTATTTTTATATAGCCAGAATTGAGTACTGGAAATGGGAAGTACAATGCCTGCACTTTAAAGGAGGGGTTTGGGATATTGGCAGTTTGGAGGGATATGTTATATATATCTATATGCTTCTAAACTGTTGTATCTGGGCGATTCTGCAAAGACAGTGATTATGTATGAGTGAGGTGAAAGTGTTGAATGATGATGAAAGTATTTTCTCTTTGGGGATTTTCTTTCTTTTTGGGTTACCCAGCCTTGGTGGGAGATGGCTGACTTGTTGAAAAAAAAAAAAAGAAAAGTGCCAAAAAAAAACTGGTGTCTTCCAACCCCTTCAGGTTGTTGTGAAGAAATGACTATTGGTATGAAGGTCTTTAGGATACCTCTAAGGGTATCAGCATCATATGTTAGGATTCACTGAGTGATTACTAGCCCCTTTCTCCCGGAGTTCTATTTGTTTCTTATGACACGCATGGCTTATGGTGGAAGGATTCTTTACCACTTCCCCATGAATTATTTGATTTAGTAATGGCATACCCCTAACTGGGGTATGCCAAAGGATGCTTAACCACTGAACAGTGTTTGTGACACTGTTGTTTCCTGACTAATAAACCACCACCTTCAAAGGTGTTATGGCCCTCTCACCCTGAGGTTTTAGCATCTTAGAGTGCTTGCCTGGAGACTTGTCTTTTATCTGCTGTGACAAAGATGTCAGCTGTGTGATGCCAGACATATTGTGATTTTGCATTAGGCTTGAACCCCTTTAGACACTAAAAAATTCTTAAGGGTTTCTACCTAAATTATTATGAATTATATATATTTAGAATTTATCCATTATTATCTTCCAAAGACAGGTTTTTATTTTTATAATAGTTGGATTAAGTAGCCTTTTCTAATCCTTGTTTTCTTAACCATTCTTTAGATTAGTTTTCAACACAATTTAAATTTTTAGTTGCAGAAATAGTAAAATAAAAATTATAAGCCTCAACATATTTTTAATCTGTATGGTGTCAGACTTTAAGGTACAAGAGCTGACTTTATTGTTCAAAGGTTTATTGTATTCCATTAACAAATACTTGCTGCTCAGGTCATATCAGCACTCCAGATTGAGATGAATGTTGTTGCAGCCGACACTAGAATCCCTGCATATTGTACACAACATGCTCGCTCCAAATAATCTTATGATAATTAACTTATATTAAAGACCATTTTATTGTTGCTTCTCTTTTATTTGTTAATACCTCTTCCATACTTTTGTGAATATCCCCAAGATGCAAGATAAGGTGAAAATTAAAAATCTTTCTTTCAACACACTGGCCGTATCCCACCAAGGCGGGGTGGCCCAAAAGGAAAGTAATACTGTATATACAGGAGAAGGGGTTACTAGCTCCTTGCATTTTAGTCGCCTCTTACAACATGCAAGGCTTACGGAGGAAGAATTCTGATCCACTTTCCCATGGATATAACAGGAAATAAACAAGAACTAGTAAGAAAATAGAAGAAAACCCAGAGGGGTGTGTGTGTATATATCTTCTTTTTTCTTTCAACAAACCGGCCGTATCCCACCAAGACAGGGTGGCCCAAAAAGAAAAACGAAAGTTTCTCTTAAATTTAGTAATTTATACGGGAGAAGGGGTTACTAGCTCCTTGCTCCTGGCATTTTAGTCGCCTCTTACAACACGCATGGCTTACGGAGGAAGAATTCTGATCCACTTCCCCATGGAGATAACAGGAAATAAACAAGAACTAGTAAGAAAATAGAAGAAAACCCAGAGGGGTGTGTGTGTGTGTGTGTGTGGGGTGTATATATATATATATATATATATATATATATATATATATATATAAATATAATAATTATAATATATATATATATATATTATATAATATTTTTTTTTTTATTATTATCACACTGGCCGATTCCCACCAAGGCAGGGTGGCCCGAAAAAGAAAAACTTTCACCATCATTCACTCCATCACTGTCTTGCCAGAAGGTGCTTTACACTACAGTTTTTAAACTGCAACATTAACACCCCTCCTTCAGAGTGCAGGCACTGTACTTCCCATCTCCAGGACTCAAGTCCGGCCTGCCGGTTTCCCTGAATCCCTTCATAAATGTTACTTTGCTCACACTCCAACAGCACGTCAAGTATTAAAAACCATTTGTCTCCATTCACTCCTATCAAACACGCTCACGCATGCCTGCTGGAAGTCCAAGCCCCTCGCACACAAAACCTCCTTTACCCCCTCCCTCCAACCCTTCCTAGGCCGACCCCTACCCCGCCTTCCTTCCACTACAGACTGATACACTCTTGAAGTTATTCTGTTTCGCTCCATTCTCTCTACATGTCCGAACCACCTCAACAACCCTTCCTCAGCCCTCTGGACAACAGTTTTGGTAATCCCGCACCTCCTCCTAACTTCCAAACTACGAATTCTCTGCATTATATTCACACCACACATTGCCCTCAGACATGACATCTCCACTGCCTCCAGCCTTCTCCTCGCTGCAACATTCATCACCCATGCTTCACACCCATATAAGAGCGTTGGTAAAACTATACTCTCATACATTCCCCTCTTTGCCTCCAAGGACAAAGTTCTCTGTCTCCACAGACTCCTAAGTGCACCACTCACTCTTTTTCCCTCATCAATTCTATGATTCACCTCATCTTTCATAGACCCATCCGCTGACACGTCCACTCCCAAAATATCTGAATACGTTCACTCTCCTCCATACTCTCTCCCTCCAATCTGATATTCAATCTTTCATCACCTAATCTTTTTTTATCCTCATAACCTTACTCTTTCCTGTATTCACCTTTAATTTTCTTCTTTTGCACACCCTACCAAATTCATCCACCAATCTCTGCAGCTTCTCTTCAGAATCTCCCAAGAGCACAGTGTCCCTCAGCAAAGAGCAGCTGTGACAACTCCCACCCTGTGTGTGATTCTTTATCTTTTAACTCCACGCCACTTGCCCAAGACCCTCGCATTTACTTCTCTTACAACCCCATCTATAAATATATTAAACAACCACGGTGACATCACACATCCTTGTCTAAGGCCTACTTTTACTGGGAAAAAATTTCCCTCTTTCCTACATACTCTAACTTGAGCCTCACTATCCTCGTAAAAACTCTTCACTGCTTTCAGTAACCTACCTCCTACACCATACACTTGCAACATCTGCCACATTGCCCCCCTATCCACCCTGTCATACGCCTTTTCCAAATCCATAAATGCCACAAAGACCTCTTTAGCCTTATC